AAAGAGATTCTAGGCGAAAAACTTACATTAACGAAAGAAATGGTTGAATCAGCTTACATTCATTTTAATAAGACTGCTGATGAACAAGTAATGCAATTTATGAATCAAAATATAAGATTCGACGATAATGCATTATCACATGAATTTATCATCAATTTCATCGAAAGTCTACCAGCTGATTTAATTCCTGATTCGGCCAAGTATGCTTCCTTTACTTGCTTGTGTAATATACCATCGGTATATATACAAACACATGTAAGATTTTTCTATTTATTCAACATATTTTGCGAAAGAACATTGCGAAAGATCGATTTTACTGTACCATCAGGCATGGGTTTTATTGTAGATCGAATTCGATCGGTACGACATTATATATTATTTGTAACAAAATATAATGCATTCAATGAAGCTTTAGTCTCTACTGCCGATGATTCAGAATCATCAGAAGTAGATGTTAAATTTGACATTGTAAAAGCTAGTGCAGCTGAACATCCAGAAGATACCATGTTCTATCAAGCATATAAACAATTAAATTCTGACGCATCTCGAATATTTCGACGAACGCAGGATGAACAAGTCTGGAAAGCAACTTATGTTGGCATGTTTAGTATCGATCAAGGCGGACCCTATCGAGATTCAATAACACGAATATGTGCTGATTTATGTAGTACACGATTATCATTATTTATTCTTTGTCCAAATGGACGAACAAACAATGGTTTGAATCGTGATCGATGGATTCCGAATGTTTTTCCACCGAATCGATCCATACCAATTGACATTAAAAATCAATATCGTTTTGTTGGACAACTCATGGGCATGGCAATACGTACGAAACAATATTTAGATGTTCGATTTCCAATTTTACTCTGGAAACAATTGATAGAGGAAGAAGTTACAATTGAAGATATTGAAGCTATTGACATTTCAAGTTTTGCAATTATCAATGAAATGGAAGAAAATATTCGAAAAGTAAAAAGTCTCAATGAATGTGACGATGATGATGTGAATAACAATTGTGATTATTTGTTTAGTAGTATTATGACTGAACTTACATTTGATGTCATTAGTTCGACAGGACAAACTTATGAACTTATTCCAGGTGGTTTTCATATACGAATAACTGCTGCCAATTTCGAAGATTATTGTATACATTATCGTCAATATCGTATTAATGAGTTTTATCGACAAATTGAATTTATTCGTCAAGGTTTATATAGTGTCGTACCATGGGCTTATTTGACTTTATACACAGCTCATGAATTAGAACAAGCTGTTTGTGGTAAAGGTTATATCGATATTGAAATGCTAAAACGTCATACAGATTATGATGGGGATCATGAATCTTCGCCGCGTATTCAGCAATTTTGGTCAGTTTTAAGTGACATGTTTAATGAAGAACAGAAAAAACTATTTTTAATATTCGTTTGGGGACGAAGTACTTTGCCATATAGTGATAAAGATTTTTCTACGAATTTCACAATAGCACGTCTTGAAACAAGTGGCAATGTTGATGAAGCTCTTCCCAGTAAGTTTATTTCAATAATCGAGCTCTAGACAAATGACATTTTCTTATGCTCGAATAGCATCATTGTAGTTTCCAAAGATTGTACGAGTAATCCGAATGATATTATCGCAATTATTTTTGCCTTAAAAATCGAAAAAATATTGTGAATTCTATTTTAACAATGAATTGAATGAATTATATGATTTTTTTTTCTAGGATCGTATACATGTGCCTTTACTCTTCTATTGCCTGCATATTCAACTAAAGAAGTCATGTATGAACGTTTGAATTATGCGATTAATTATTGTTCTAGTATCGATACCGATGGACGTATGAACTAGATTTCTATAGGTATTGATTCATTATTGTTAAATTTCAACTTCACATTACACTGCAAAAATCAATTTAAACAAGAATTTTGCGAGCCCAGTTATTATGAACGTTTTCTTAGAAAATTAGCTCAATGTTACAATTGATATATATTTTCGAGTGAAATCATGCTTGTTGTTTCTAAATCTATAATAATAAAATAAATCGAGAATATATAAAAAAAAACTAACCGTTGTGCCCAACTATCTGATAATTTGCTTAATTCACTCAAGGACGATTGCTCAAAAGGTCTAAAACTAAGGGGCTCCTTTCAAGTGTTTACTTCTTGTAGTCGAAATTGCAGTGTAGCCGAGCGATTCGACAATCTTCTATTTATTATGGAAATTCGAACTGCCTTTACTGTTGATCTTAATCCATTATTCAGATATCCTCATGAGAAAGAAGAGCTACTATTTCCAGGGATTTGCTTCGATATCGATTGGGTGGAATTTGATAAAGACGAAAGCAAACACTTGATCTATTTACCTCTTCAACAACGGCACAATAGTAAGTCAAGATGACCGAAGAATCTATCAGGAATATAAAAAAAATAATAACTTCATTAACTCACGTCTTATCTTAAAGTTTTTATCATCTTTTTCGCATCAAAATAACCGAAATGATATTTTATAAAAAGAAAGAATAGTAATTATGCGTATTGGGTGTGGGTGTGGATTGAACGTGGATGGCATCTCATCATCTAAACCTATACTCACACCCATGTCCTCAGATATTCCAACCCCGCGAGGCATTTTTTATGGGCGATGCATATTTCTGATCAGTGCTGGTTCCATATCTGCTCAAAAAACATCGTTTAACACAATTTTAGATGTTTTCTAAATAATCTACGCTTGCACACCATATACTAAAACGTAGAAAAGTTATATATATATATGGGGTGGCGCTAAAAGTAAGATAACACCGACACCGTTTCAACCTTTTTCTATGTATAGATCCATAGTACGATCTTATGTTTGAACTGCATATACTAGATGACAATACTCAGAGAAAGAGTCTATTAGTAGTCTTTGGTTGTAAGAATTTGTCGGAAAGCAAACGAATATCTTCTGTATAATCTTATATGACTGTCGCATAAGTTCGCTGTTGTCTAATCGAAATCAAGGGTGTGGGTGTGTGTGTGAATCAAGTAATCAACTCTCACACTCACACACCCACACCCACACCCTCAGATGTGCTCTCGTCAAGTTCTCACGATCTTGCCAACCGTTTTTTCGACTGAAAATGATACTTAGGAGCTGAGAACGAGTGGCTGACTTGAATCGTGACTCATGTGTTGAGAAGAAGAAGACGAAGAAGAAGAATTTGGCATGGCAACTAACCGAGTGAAAATCAATAAGTCGACTCTGCCTGTACTTCGTGCAGTCAGCCGACTTAATTGAAGCTACCAAAGCCGATTTAAAAGCAAACTCAACTTTTCTTTTTCGGTTCGATAGACTAAAGAGCGAGAAATCTTTTCATAAAAAAACCTTTTTCTAAGGATCTTGTAAATCAAATAAAAACCTAAAAATAAGAGGGTAGAGATGCTATTTTCCTGCTAAAAGTCACCATAGATTTTTTATTTTGTTTCTTTGATTTCTCGGAAACCACAAAAGATTAGACCATGATTTTTTTTCTCTTTTTTAGCTAACTATATGATAAATCGATGGTAAAAGCTTCAGCTCTTAAGTATGTATTGTTCACCAGAAAACAATATTTTACTCGAAAAAATATCACGACAGATTAAGTTCAATCTACTAAAGCCGGTTCTATAGCAAACGCGAATTTTTTTAATGTTTGGTAGACTAAAAGGAGACAAATCTTTTGGTAAAAAATTTTTCCTGAGAACCTTCTAGATCAAATAGAAGGCAGAAAATAAGAGGGTGAGGGTGTCATTAGCACCTTTTCACCCTTAAGATATGCATGTATGTGTACTGATAAAGTTTTGTATATGCTCATTAGATTCCCCTTTTCAAAAACGTTCGATTGATATATAATAACAATATATAACTTGCCGTTTTGTGATTTGATTTTGTGAAAATATTTCTAAAATGATGTGTTCTATTATAGCAAGAAAACTTGAAAACTATGCATTTTTTAATAAAACTCGACTTTTTTCTGAAACAAAAAAACTGACAGTTGGGAAAATATTTGATTTATACACAACTAATAGAGCTATATAGAATGCACGATTCAAATTTGCTTTATATTCACTTTTAGTTTTTTCGAGTTTTTACGTCAAACCGTACAATGCCGATGCAATTCACCCAGATGTGTTTGTGAATCTTCTCTCAAATGGCACCTACACCAACACCACCCATCTGCGTCGATACCCACTCACACTCGTGATCTACTCTTTATATTTCATATTAGTACCATAGTGGTGGTATGGACAACTATATTATGACTATTTACTAATATTTTATGAATGGAGTTTGATGCGAATATTCTTTGTAATCAGATCATTTCTTGTATATAACACTTGCATCACATAGCTGCCACAAGGGTGCACAATTTGTGAGAAACTGTCGTATTGCATTCTATTTATGATAAACACAGTCGAACTTTATATACCCCGGAACGGTCTTAACTGATTCGAACACTCAAAAATTCCAGATTTATGTGGCTTAAGGACGCAAACTAAACAAAACAGGCTCTTGTTTATGCGTGTGAGATGAGAATGCTCAAATAGTCATTCTGTATTTGCCTTCAATGCTAAATGACTTTCGCTTGTACCCAGGTCGAACAAACACCGTCATAAACGCTCGCACACGGAGAAATGCGACCAAATACTTGGCTCAATATTACGATCGTAAATCTCCGTGTCGTATACGGTCACAACGATATACGATCGTAACATTGAGCGATGTATTACGGTAAAATATGACCGTAAACGATTGTATCGAGGTTGTATACAGTCGTATACGAAGTCCGTTATCGTCGATCTGGATAATGTCTTTATGCGAATATGCATTAAATACAAAGGAAGATTTATTAGGCTACTTGATAGAAGGGATGACATATTAAGAGCAGTATATTAATAAATCTGTTATCTCTCTTTTATATATAAAGTGCACCGCATACACATAAAATTTATTACTGATTTTTAAAGAATTGACTAGCAAGTATGCATCTACTTACTTTATCTATCTTACTCCTAATTGGTAAGCTTTGTCCTAACTTTTTTGAAAAATGTTTGATTCTGATTGATAATAATCATGTTATTGATCATTTCACTTTTCAGGTACTCATATGGTCATTGCTACTGCTACAGAATGTTATGAATGTGAGTTAACATCAGCGTGCAATGATCCTTTCAATGCAAACGAATTCGGTGTGAATAAAATCTCTTCACTCAGTGGTTGGTGCTATGTATGCGACCTTTATTGAACAAAATTTTCATTGATTGTTTTCTCTCTTGCAGAAGGTGAAAGGCGAAGAAGAAGGAACATATCTAATAATTCGAGGAGCCGATGACGTTTCTTGTTCAAAAACAGGGTGTGATAATGTCAACGGAGCTACTATTTGCTGTTGTGACACCAATTTATGCAACGCTGCTCGACGTTCAACATCAATGATAACTGTCATTATTCTAGCATGGTCTCTTGCTATTGGCTTTGCAAGATGGTTCTATTGACATCTATTCGCTTTTAACTTCAGATTATATTGATAAGCATAAGAAATAAATTCCATTAACTCTAAAATCATTCTATTTCGAATATTGACTGCACGGTATGAGTAGGAGAAGATGTCGGTACTAATAAGGTGGGTTTAGGTGAATTTGGATATGAGTCTTCATTTCATCAACATCCATACTGATACCTAAGCCGTTGCATTGAGTCGCGATGATATTCTTTAAAATTGATTTCCATTCAGATTTTTCGAGTAAATTCTGACAATGCATGATGAAATACAGGTCGACATTTTTTCAAACTAACCTGAGTTCTTCCGACAAAAATTAAGCCAAAAATAGGGTTGCAAGGGAATCGTTGAAAATCAATAGAATTTGCAAGAGTCATAGTATTTTCACTAAAACACAGAATAACGAAGAACAACAACATAAACATGTTGATTTTCGCCTTGTTCTTTCACCCGTTTTACATGAAAGACAACGGTGGTCTATCAGACACACTATGAAATGCGCAAGACAGTTTCCCATTAATGCAATGAAGGTTTAAAATCGTTACCGATCATGACTGGTTTAGTAAAGAGTTGTTCTCCAAATCGAAATATAATCTGCACTTATTGATGTCCTTTAACTCGACCTATTTAATGAGATATTTTGCTTTCGAAATCTATTCTTTTGTTAACATAAGTTTCAATACCAAGATTTTTCTTTTTTTTTTATTTCAAAAAACAAATAGTGTTGATACTATTATTATTGGATGTGAATGTGAATGCATGGGTGTGAGTGTGAGTGTTAGTCTAAAAAGACGACTCTTGCCCCATACACCTGTTTATACACACATCATACTCCATCCCTACACCCCGCGCCAACACCTACACTCAAAGCCGCACCAGTTCTTTGGGAATGATATGATAGAGAATAATGAAATGTCTGAGAAGTCCTTTATATAGAATATTCAATACATTGATAAAGCCTCTCTTTGTGCTTAAAATTTAATTTCGATAAGGAAAATATGTGATGACTCCCCTTCGAATGATTCGAAATTGTTAGACTCATACGTTTGTTGTTTTTAAGTCACTTCTATCAAGTACGTGTTCTTCATCAATCTTCCATGGTTGACGTTGTCGAATTGACTATCGAAATAAAAGCAAATCAACAATTGATGCGGACTCTTCAGGTGAATTTTCGTCGGGTACTGGTATAAGCACAAAATATTCGAAAGTGTTTGAATTCAGAGTTATTGTCTGCATCTATTGAGTTTCAATCTGACATTCGTTTTTTGTCGAACTCGAATATGCACGCTCCAGTTGTTCAAAAAACAGATAAAGTATGGATGAGTCAGAAATTGTCTCTGCTCATGCTGCTTGTTCAGGATCGAGTACAAATGCCTTCAAGCCTTGGAAAAATTGACTTTCTGACGATAATTCAGTCAAGAGTTGTGGAATAGTTTTCATTTGATATATCTTTTCTTGCTTCTGTTTATCGTATCCTTGAAGAACTTTCGATGTAGCAATCCCTGATAGACCACCAATCATTTTCCCACTCATAGCACTGATAATATCACCGACAACTGAGCCCAGAATGGGCACAGGAATAATAATAATACCAACAATGGTACCTGTTGTTCTTCTAATGACTAGAACAAGTGTGCACATTATTTTGCATTATTTATGAGTAAAACAATCACTGACAGTGCCAGATGTTGATGCAATGCGTCGTACGACATATTTCTTAAAAGCAATATCACTCAAGTTACCTTTTCGTTGTTTATTTCGTTGTTTTTTTTATATCAATAAAAGTTGAAATGTTCGCCACCGCGGTACAAATGATACCTGATCCTATGGCACCTGGAAATGGTCCAAGACTTTGAGTACCAACAATTACTACATTTTTAACAAGTAAGGTACAGGGATCGATAATAAAAAGTGTAGCCGCTTTGTCTTTAACTAAATTATGAAATTTAATAGCTTATTTGGAATAGGAATCATTCGATCGACATCATCTTGCCCACTGTTCAGAGTTATTACCGACTAAGGAATAGTCACATTTTCCTAGATAATTAATAGCCTGTTCTAGAGTTTCTTTATTCGAAAGACATTTTATATTATCATAATGATTCTCGGAAATCGAGTTCTCAAAGCAGTTGTTTACATGATGCATTCAATTCTAAACAGGTTATTGTATAGTCGCAAATTTCATCTATTAGTCTAACAAAATACAGTTTTGTTTCTGATCATGGAATCCAATCGTGAGACTCCATGAAGTGGATTAGTTCAGAAATCATTTTGGTCTGTTTAATATAGGTTTTTAATCATGTTAAATCTCGTGCTATACCGCTTTATTTTTCTTAGACACGATTTCAAATTAACAAAAAGGAAATAATCACTTATCTGGCGTTACCTGCCACTGGCTGAGATAAACGGAACTCGATCGATGTTGTTCTGTAGAGAAACAGTCTTTCGACTTCATAACAATATCGAAAGCAATACTTGAATAATTACTTATCATAAAAACAGTTTTAGAGAAAAATTCAAGCTCATCTATTCTAGATACTATGATGTGTCGGTTTTTTCCAATACGTATTTATTTAACTATGAACTTTAGCTGAATCGTTCAAAATAGAGGACTTTTTCTGTACCAATATTCTTGAATTCGTTTCTGTATAAGCCAAATATTCAAAAGCCTACTAAAACAATTTGGAAACTCAAGTTGTTTCTTTCAAATGGTACAATTCTCGATAATAAAACTTGGCCTGACCAGAATTTATATTTCAAATACAATGGTTACGTTTAATATTCACTAAAAATGTCACCTCGATAGATTGACTGAGAAAACTGCAGCTCATGGAGCAGGCATCTACTCGAAACTTTTCTAGAGAGAAGAACAAGCGCTGGAAAAAACCTTTGATTTTCGAAAAATTTTCATTGTACCTCTTTTAGAGAAGCTTTTCGTCAGAAGGTAAGATTCCACTCACTAGGTAACATTTTCACGTGTCGGAACGCTTTTCAGTCAGAGCTTCGCGCATCTTGTAGCTCTTAGTGAACTGTGTCTATGGTTTTAAAAGTTTGGATTTCCGGGCTTCTTTCTGAGGAGCTAGAATGTTTTTACTATTATAGCTATAAGGGTCATCTTATGAGAAGAAAAAAATACTATGTCAACTAATACAAGTTAAAACGAGTTGAGATTTTTCTCAAATATGGTTGTGTTCATATGCAAGATAATGTGAAAGTCTGAGCTCAAACAACCTTGGGAAGATTGAGTTATTAGTTTTACAAAATAGCAAAGTCATTCTATACAACATTAATTATGCTATTTCGCAGATTTGCAAGATAATTGTAGTCTTTGACGATACTATGTTTATTTTTTTACTTTTATTCTGTTGACTGCAGCCTGCTTGCATCATAAATTACAAATATAATGATTTCTTTCGTGTATGAATGATGAATATTATTGAATAACAAAAGATGAAGTAGATCAACTTGTATGAACGGACTGAACATATAACACGTGTGTAAGAAAGAGAAAAATAATAGATCTACAATGGTGTGCCTTTGTATTTAATATTCAGTTTGTTCGTTTCTAACGAGAATGATAAACCCACTGATCGTATCTTCTCTGCTCGTAGAGAAATTTTCTCAATCCTCAGTATCTACAAACCTTAATCTTCCAAGTCCATCAATATGTGAACAAGAGGTTGCCAACCATCTGGCTGAACTGTCGAATTCAACTATCAACAGTCCCGCATTTTCTGTAGAAAGTGAAACTTCACTTGATCACATTTCAAATGAAATAACAGAAGATGATGTTGATGAGTACGTTGAATCAGGTGATTCTGAAATAGACCCTGACTTCAACGACACAGGCAACGACGAATCGGGTGTTCTTTTACAAAAGTTCTCTCTGGATTATATAAAAAAAGTTATTGAATATTATGAGGAAAAGGATCCTTTGACAGGAAAACGTCGCCGATCATGGAAAGGTGTAAAACGTCAGTTTAAACGTGTCACAGATTCAACATATCTTTCTCGTTTTTGTACTGATATTGAAAAGGAAGGAAGAAGAATGCAAAAATTGGAAAACGTAAATAATTATGTTTATCATAAATTTGAACAAGCTCTGGAATTATTTCTTTCTGTCTGTGATCTTGACTTGCATCGCTGGGCTTTAGCAAAAGCTAAACATGAATTATTTTATAACTTCGTCGCTTCAGAAACATGGTTGCTTAATTTTAAAATGCAACATAACAGATATTCAAGAAAAGTGACTAAAGTGAGCAATTTGTTTTCTCTGAGTGCAAAAGAATAGCTACTTCTTCTAACAGCAGATAGCAAAGCGTTTTTGATCATTTTAAGTGTTTTATTTCTATTTTTTCCAAAAACGGAACGCATAACATGGTATTTATATTGACTTTAAAAAACTCGCCTTTTTTTCTTTCTGAAATTCGATTGTCTAATTGCATTACCAATCGCACCAGTTTTCCATGATTTCGCGTAGCTTTGACTTTCAAACTGATTGGTAAATGCTTTCTTAATTGTTTTTTATGAAACGCTAATTATATAAAAAGTATTTTGATTATTCGAGTATGAATAGTAAAAGCCAGAGAGTGAGATATGGAGAAAAAAGTCTGAAGATAGTTGTTTTATTGAACTGAAGAAAGAGAAACAGTATTCTGCATCAGGCAATAACAACCCAGCAAGTAGCAAAACAAGAAGAAATTCAACATTCTGCAAATGAATTTATATCAACCGTGCACAAGCTTTTACAGAAGTACGATTCCGATTATGTGATCAATACAGATCAATCTGGTATATAACTTGAATTTTATTCTATTCCTACACTGTCCCACAAGGGAGAAAAAAAATACTGCTTTATCTATTCGTTCAAAGAACGCTATTACCCATTCGTTCACAGTGTAGCCATGTATTCGCCTTAACGGTAAACTTGTTGGACTGCTCTTTCTTTGTTTAACCCTTTGCCCCCTAAAACAGATCCGACAAAGTTAGTACCGATTCAAGTATAGGAATAGTGTAAATACGGGCCCAATATACCAAGGATGTAGCCAAATTTTGGTGAAGCTCTTTCCCTGCGATACTTAAAAATGGGTCGAAAACGACCCATTCGGGTTGAATGACATGAAAATTCAATTTTTTTCAACATGCTACTTTTATGATTTTGCTGGATTGTTTATACTGAATTCCGATGACCTGATGTGTTTCTTTTCGTAACAATAATTTTTTCTGCAAAATCAAATTTTTCAAAAATGATATTAGATACATTTAATTATTTTTAAATGAAATTTTACAATGAACAACACAAAATAAGCCTTATTTGTAGTGATAGAACGTAAGAAATAGACAATGGATACAGGGATGAACATTGACATATGATAACACAGTGCCACCATCAATGAAAGAAAAGAAATGATTTCATTCTCATGATTCAATCGAAAAAGAATATAATATAGTGACCTGCTGACTAGATAGTTGATTTATCTATATCTCAATCCAAAAAAAGACAAATTCTCCCGTCATTTGACTATTTTTAACTCTATAAAAGTTGTTAATAAGAAAATATCCTAATTATCCAATCATATTAACGAGAGGAAGTTATTTCCGAAAAATAAAAATTTTATGTCGCTCAACCCGAATGGGTCGAAAACGACCCAAATTGACTTGAAGGATGGTGTGCGTTCTCGAATAATTAGCAAATCCATTTGATCTTTCTTTGAAAGAGGTTAGTGTAATAGCAGTACACATCAACAATTAGAATGTCTGAGTACTCAATCTACGTAAATAAGAAAAAGCAATAAACTCAGAAAACGGGTTTTTTCACATTTTCGAAAATTCACAATTTTTTGACTCAAATAAGTCGGGTAAAGAACGATTGAGGAGAAATTCTTTTTTTATGAATTTATAGCTCATTCAATTCTCTATACAGATATTCCATAATCTTCTCAATCAGACGTTTTTTTACTAAATTATGTAAATCGTACGAATGGGTCGAAAACGACCCAGCCGGGGGTAAAGGGTTAGGAGGAACAACTGGTTATTTGAGCGAAAATGTTAAAGTGAGTTGCTTGAATACAATGATCTTTTTTTCATATGAATATAATTCAAACGATACATCTTCATCATTATTGCATATTTCAGGCTCGTCTGTTCAAAGCTCCTAATATTGTAGTATCGTGTAGTAAATCTGGAAAACTCACGACTAATCTCGTCCAATATTGGAGAGATCATGTATTGCTTCCTTCCATATCTTCTCATCGTACTTTTCTTATTTTTGACTACTGGTCTGATCAAAGCAACACTACAAGTGTTTATGACAATATTAAAGAAGTTTATCGACTTGAAATACCTAAACATACGACCACACAAATTCAACCTTTCGATCTGTTCTACAATAATCAGCACAAGTATGTCGCATGTCGTATGTTCAATCGAGCACAACTTGATGACCTTGATGTTAATCTGAGTGAACGTAACAACATCATCCGTAGTCAATCTCTCATTTATAACCAACTGTGCGCTCCTATTCTTCGAAAAATACTACAATATGCTTGGCATACAAGTGGGTATATCGACAAGCATCCAGGTTCTTTTCTATCAGTTAAAGAGGTGTGCTTTACATTTTGTAATGTCGCACGCAGTGGCGACTGTTGTGAAGCTTCTCCATTTATCTGTTGCAGTTGGCGTAGAAACAACTTCTGTTTTCAACATTTCTGTTCCGATTATCATTTTCATTATAGTCTAGGTAGTCTAGCCTAAAGTGATTGTTTTGGGATATACAGATCAACGCTTTTTTTGTTTTCCTTTTCTTTCGGTACGTAATGCTACCACTACATATTGTTGTCATTAGGATAGAAATAAAAAAATAAACACAGTATCGTCAAAGACTACAATTATCTTGCAAATCTGCGAAATAGCATAATTAATGTTGTATAGAATGACTTTGCTATTTTGTAAAACTAATAACTCGATCTTCCCAAGGTTGTTTGAGCTCAGACTTTCACATTATCTTGCACATGAGCACAACTATATGTGAGAAAAATCTCAGCTCGTTTCAACTTGTATTGGTTGACATAGTATGTTTTTCTCCTCATAAGATAACCCTTATAGCTGTAATAGTAAAAACACTCTAGCTACTCAGAAACAAGTCAGAAACCCGAACTTTTTTAACCATCGATACAGCTCACTAAGGACTAAAAGATGCGCAAAATTCCGACTGAAAAGCATTCCGACATGTGAAAATGTTATCTAGTAAGCCTAAATTGACAACCCTTGTTCGTACATTATGAATTTCTATATATTTCAGCAGCTCTACTAAATTGAAAAAGTCTGTCTGATCGAAAACTTGCGCCCTCTACAAATTACAGTAGATTTTATTAAAATTTTTCTAAGTAATGTATTTGCTATATTGTGTTCTCTTTGATTAAATCTTTAAAATTTAACTATCAAATTTAATCATTTTATAGAAAAATAATAAAATTGTGTAAATCAAATCAACTGAACATTTAAAACAAATTTATTTTACTTAAACTTACTTTTCTTAATGTTCGCATATGAGAAGTAACCAACCAAAAGAAGTCCCAAAATCTCATCTGTCGATTATCGAAACTCACAGGTCGTTAGCTATTGTCATTGTTGAGTTATTGAGCTTTTATCCATTTTTCTTTAGTTCTGACACGAGCATTAGTCAAATTAAAACACTCTTACACTGTTTTTCTTCTTTCTCAGGGTTGTCTGCATATGCGTCGTTTATTCATTCTTCAAACATTAGAAAATATCAACGAATGACGGTCACATGTTAGACGAAAAACGAAAATCGTCCAATTGCATGTACGATTACTGGTCGATTTATGTACATCATATTCTCTTCACATATCAATCGATTTTTTTTGTAACATATAAGAAGAGAAAAATATAGTACCCATGTACTTTTCTATCTGATTGCTTGCTTTTTTTTGTTCGATATGGTGAAATGAAAGGAGATACATGCATCAGTGATCACTACCAATGACAGAAGTTAAAAACCTGTTCTCTTCATATTATTTTTCCTTTTTTAATATTCATTTCACTATACAGCTTGTGCAATCACTTTCTGTTTTTACATTGCAATCATTCTCATCATCGTTTCAAGGTAACTACCCATTTACTAAAAAGTTTAGTCTACACCATCAGATGTGCTACATTACTATTAATTTTCAAACACTGTTACTCGGTAAATGGTACTAGGTTTTACTACTCTAATTACGTATTAAATTTTGACTTATTAGAGATGTATTTAATAAACTTTAATGTTAGCATTGTAATATAAAGAAAATTTATTCTATCAATAATTAATTTTGGAAGCCTTCAGTACTTTACAAGTAACGCTCGTTTGTGTGATTCGCTTGACCCTCGGACTAAATATTTGACTGTTTCAGTATTATATACTGCTTTACAGTGCTCAACAAAACTAGTATCTAACGTTTGAACAAGGTTATCTGCGAGTGTGGATATTTATATTTGCATCAGTCTTGTTGTACATAATGCTATGTGTGTCCATGTGACAATTTGTGTCATATGATTCATTCAATCAAATCGATACTCACAAAGTAATACCAATGAATATCTAAATGAAACACACTAGGACAGCAGTATCCACACGCTATCAGAAAAGAGATTATATTCAGTTTATTGAGAGAATCACTAAAAAAAAATACATCCATGACACTAACATGGAAACGCACCATGCACATTAAAACCCTAATAAAGATCCATATAATTACTAGCACGTTCACCAACGATGTTATTTGCTACCGTCGGCTACCAAAATAGGAGTTTAGCTAGACTTCTAGATTAAAATAAATTATATTTGATAAGACTTATAGTCAGAATATGTCACTTGAATGACGCTCTTACTCAAAGTAGTCATCGGATTAGGCAATTAATTTCATTATATCCGAATTAATTTAAACATGTCAATGCACACAGACAAGAAAACATAACAGCAGAAAAATTCATTTTATTTCATTAAAATCTACTTCGAATGCAGTGAATCTGTCTGAATTCTTTGTGTGATGTTTTCCATCACAATCCAAATATGACTTACATTAAAGAATGGCTACTTTAATACTTCATTAGTATTGATTAACTCAAAGATTGCTAGGCATAAATGAACAACAACAGCTCTACTGATGATGAACAGAGATGTCCAAAAGCTCTGTTATGGTACTATTATTATGAATAAGTAGATAAAACCACATTGAATTTTGAGTTTTCGATTATTATTTTTCCTTATGAGTTACTAAGAAGTTTTTTTCTTTGGAGCATACATTAGAAAGTTTAGGCACGCAATTGTAGTACTTCTTTTCATTTTATTTTTTTTGTCCTATAGAAAAGCAAATATATGATGAAAAAATATATAAGTATGTGTTGTAGACTATGCTCTTTTTAATTGTAAAAAATAACATGTTTAGACTACTTATGAGCAGTATCAGAATGAAAATAAAATTAATGCAGAACTTCTGCACCACCCGTCACTTGAATTTCTTCCGAATCATATTTTAGCTTTAGGCATTCTCATGGGATTCCTCACTGCAAGCAACATGAAAGTTTCTGTATTATATCCGATTATGTTGATGTTGATGCTTCTCGTTAGCCAACATGATGCTAAGACTATCAAGACAAAGGTTGTAGTACTTGGCGGAGGTGTGGCTGGTGTGATTGCTGCTCGTACATTATATGAAAATGGTGTTAAGGATTTTGTTCTGGTTGAAGCGGAAAGCGATTTAGGCGGACGAATGAAACATACAAAATTTGCTGGCTATACTGTTGAATTAGGAGCAAATTGGATTCAGGGAACGATGAATACAGCAACACATAAAGAAAATCCAATATGGACGCTGACCAAAAAATACAATTTATTGAACGTAGCTAGTAATTTGGATGATTTATCAACATACGACCAAAATGGATATACTGACTATAGAGATATTCAAAAACGATATGATGACATATTCACAAAAGTTCTTGCAGATGCTGGAACCAGATTGAAAAGGACTCTCGTTGATCTGTCATTCGATGAAGGACAATGCTTGGCTGGCTGGAAAGCTCAAACACCACAAGAAAAAGTAGCTGAATTGTTCACCTTTGATTTTGAATATGCCGACACTCCCGCTGCCTCGAGCATGATCGAAGCAGCAGTTAATTACAATGAAACTTATATACAATGGAATGAAGACGATTTATTTTGTATTGATCAACAAGGCTTCAATATATTGGTACGAAATGAAGCCAAAACGTTTTCTACGAATGAAAACATCATGTACAATAGCATCGTTAAAAAAGTCAGCTATTGTGACAAATCAGTTGTAATTCTACTCAAAGACAATACAGTGATTACAGCAGAATATGCAATTTGTACTTTTTCTCTTGGTGTACTTCAAAACCAGGATGTTGAATTCGTTCCACCATTTCCAGCATGGAAGCAAGAAGCCATTTCTTCATTCAAAATGGCTAATTTCACGAAAATTCTTCTCAAATTTCCCTATAAATTTTGGAACAATACACAATTTACTCTCTATGCAGATTCTTGTACAAGAGGCTATTATCCAATATGGCAATCATTAAGCGAAATTGGCTTTTTTCCAAATAGCAATATTACAGTTGTTACCATTGTTGGAGATCAATCATATATTGTTGAAGCAAAAAGTAACAACCAAACGTTAAACGAAATCATGTCCGTATTGAGAAGTATGTATGGTAGAAATGTGCCACAGCCCGATGAATTTTATTATTATCGATGGACAAAAGATCCGTTTTATAGAGGTTCATATAGCAATTGGCCAGCAGGTGTATCTCAATATCAACATAAAAATCTTCAAGCACCAATTCAACGGCTTTATTTTGCTGGTGAAGCATACTCATATGAATATTATGGCTTTCTGCAAGGTGCATATGCCACTGGCCAGAATACAGCTGAACAAGTGATCAGATGTATACAGGGAAAGTGTTCTCTGGCATCAGCTGAAAATCACCAAGAATATTCGTGTTCTGGCCCGAACTGTAATTCCTAAGTTACGTTAATATAACAGATCATTAGTAGACTTTGCTCATTTTAGTTTTACAATAGATTTTGTACTTTTACTTTTTTTAAAATTTTAATCTCATATCTTTTTTATTTTAAACAAAATAAACTAACTTAAAACATACTTCATCAGAATAATATATGGTTTCATGATACAAATAATTTATTTTCAGCTCTAAACTCGAGAACGTAAGATGGTCGACTTTGGCATAGTCCTCTGAAGGTAAGGTCCATTGACAAGGGTGCCAATGCGGGTGTGAGAGTATGTTTATTGCTTCTAAACTCAGAGCCACTCCTTGCATCCATATCCACACCCACGCCCACCTTAGCCACATTCATACACCCACACCCATACCCTAGCCAGACCCACACTCACACCGACACGCCATACCCACACGCACACTCACACACGCACACTCCACAGCCACGTCCACACAGCCACATGCACACTCACGTCCCAGCCACACCCACACCCCCACACCGACACTCCTCACCCACACCGACACTCCTCACCCACACCCGCATCCGCATCCACACTCACATCCTTTCTTTTCTCTCTCGTACATTTTTCATTGATATATTTGTGAACTGATTTCGTCTTGAATATGATATGTAAATTATCGAAACATCGGCTTGAATTGAATTGTTCCCATTCAGTTAATTAATAAAATTATGATTTAATGAAAAGCTACTATAAAATCCTATAATCTTTATACGGAAAATTGTTCATCGATAATCATTGTAAATTATTTTGAGCAAGCATTTTATAATACGTTCCATGTCGTTGTATCAGTTCTGTATGAGTACCATTTTCCACTATATGTCCTCTATCAAGTACACAAATCAAATCACATGAACGAATAGTTGATAGACGATGAGCAATAATGAGTGACGTTCGACTAGGATCGTCTGTTTGAGCCTGTTCAAGTGCTTCTTGAACAATCTATAATTGAAAAATGAAGATGAGGTTTTGAGTGATAAATAGAAAAGAAAAACAAACTTACTTGTTCATTGTGCGAATCCATGGCACTTGTAGCTTCATCTAAGAGCAATACTTTAGGTCGACGAAGAAGAACTCGAGCAATTGCAATACGCTGCTTCTCACCACCTGATAGAAAACAGCCTTTTGAACCTACGTTTGTTTCATAACCCTAAAAAAATATCATACAATAGTAATAGATACATTCTATAATTTTGTATTTTGTAACCTGAGGTAATTGCTCGATAAATTGATGAATATTAGCTGTACGTGCTGCATTGATAATGTCTTCCATTGCAACATTTTCTAAGCCATATGCTATATTTTCAGCAATTGTTAAATTGAATAATACGGGTTCTTGACTGACAAGACCAAAATGAGAACGAAGCGAATGAAGATTTAGTTTTCGAATATCCATGCCATCAATCAGCTAAATTGAATGTAGAAATTTCATATAATTACTTAAACTGTATGCTGAAAAAATACTAACTAATTCACCACTTGTAATATCATAGAATCGTTCTAACAGTTGAATAATTGTAGATTTTCCACATCCAGATGCGCCTGTATGAATTGTACTATGTGATTAACATTTAGAAGAAATATGTGATTCAAACATACCAACAAGAGCTACACGTTGACCTTAAAAGTGAATAAAAATTTTTGAAAAATGATCCGATTGAAACTTCTCTCACTTACTTGACTTGATATTCAATTGAAATTTGTTAAGAACAACAGATTTTGGCCGAGTTGGATAGATAAATTTCACTTGATTAAATTTTATCTCTCCATGAAAATCAACCTACACAAATCATATTGTATACATGACATGTAAGTTACATGATTGAAAGAAAATAGTTATCTTTTATGTTTCCTTACTAATGCTTGACCTTCACTTGATGTATTATCAATAGCTGGTTTTCGATCAAATAAATCGAAAAACGTATTAATAGCTGAGACTGATGCAGCAATACGGCTATACCTAGAATAGAGAAACTAGAAGACAAAAATACCAAAGTAGAGATAGAGAGTGTTACATTATTCCGAGGACTCTTAGGGCTTGCAGCGAAAGGAAAACAAAACCAAACACCCTAAAAAATTGAAAGGATCAGGAAATATTGTTTCTAGATAATCAAATTGTATGTTCAATTACATTATAATTTGATCCGAGTTGAGTTCGTTCTTCTCAAAAAGGACAAGAGCACCCCAAGAAAGAAATGCACAAGAATATGCATCTAGTGTCCAGAATATGCCGTATGTTATTGAAGATAGTATTAACGTTTTCCATGGCAATCTATGAGAACAAAAAGTCAATTAGAAATTTATACATGTATAAGATTCGATGGATCAACATAATAGCTTGACGAATAAGTTCAGAATATTGCCTCAACACTTCCTTTTCTATTGACAACTGTTTTATTGTACGCATATTGTGAAGAACTTCAACAGTAAGCTGCACAAGTAAATGATAGAGTGAATGTAGCGTATTCAATATATGAAACAAAAGTTATCGGCTACATCTGATCTTACCGTGCTTGCTTGTTCAAGAGCGTGATCAGATTGCTCGGCCAACCGTATACGTAAACGCTCTTCCCCATAAGCGACTATGAATAGGATAAAAAGAGAACCAAAAACGATCATTGTTAATTGCCAACTTATGAAACATCCAAAAAGAATTCCAAAGAACGATAGTGCGAGAACTTCACAGATGACTCCTAATCGTGTACCAGTCATCTCTTGAATGGCTGATGCATCAGAAGAAAGACGAGTACAAATTGCACCAGAACTATTTTCAGATCGATCGAAATAAGCAATTTCTTGACGAAGAAGACATGCAAAAGCTTTCAAACGAATGCGTTGCGTCAATTTCGATCCTGCTATGGCAAAAGCTGTATACTACATGAAAGACTGAAAAAAATCATCGATCGAATTCAGAAGCAGCATTTTTACCTGAAAGAAACGAAGAATCCATAAAGCAAGACCCAAAAGTAAAAAAGAAGCATTAGCAATCAACACTTGTTGACGTCGGTTAGAGATTGAACAATCTTTGAATGTCTACACAATAAATAAATCAACATAAAACAATCTATATTGTCAATCATTTTGCACAATATTTATGTAGGAAGATTACTCACATGGACTATTTTGGTAAATAAAAATGCAAGCCATGGTTGAGCAGTTCCATAAATTGCACACGCTAAACAACCAATCAAGATGGTAATCCATTCAGGACTATTCATTAACAAGAGTCTTAAAAAGATAGATCTGCGTCTGAGTGGCTTTACACTTTGCTAAAAGAGAGATTATCAATACACTTTATCTTTATAAATAATTGGAGTGCTGTTTGTACTTTGTTCTCATTAATAGTTTGACTATCGCTAAGTAAACGAGAGCTTTCAACTACTTAATAAAAAAGATGAAGAACAATGAAAATCATTACAATAAGAATATTTACAGACTTATTAAATTTTTATCTTCTTCTGTTGTTTCTTGTAGACTCATTATATCATCTTGATCGTCATAGATGCTTTCCATCTGTTGACGTTTAACCATTGCTTGATATTTGCCTCCTTCTTTTGCCATCAATGTTTCATGTGTACCTTGTTCAATCACACGTCCATTATCTAACACATATATGTGATGAGCATTTTTAATTGTAGTCAAACGATGAGCAATAACAATAGTTGTACGACCTATACAGAATGATATATCAATACGATAAACAGTTAAAAAAAACTAATTGTTACCTCTGCATGCTCGATCTAGTGCTTCTTGAACAACTTTTTCACTTGCATTATCAAGTGCACTTGTGGCTTCATCCAGTAAAAGGAAGGTAGGTTGTTTGACAAGAGCACGAGCTAATGCAATACGTTGTTTTTCACCACCACTCAACTGTATGCCACACTCACCAACAAGTGTTTCATATTTCTAAACAATAAATAATGATACAGACATAAATAGATAAAGGTAAATATCTGATACAAACATTTGGTAATTGCACGATGAAATTATGTGCATTTGCTTCTCGTGCTGCTTGTTCAATTTCTACTTGTGTTGCATTTACTTTACCAAAACGAATATTTTCATAAATACTCATACCGAATAAAATCTAATAGAAGAGTGAATCAAATAGAATGAGAGAAAAGAAAAACAGAAAAACAAAGCATACTGGTTCTTGACTAACAACTCCAGTGTTTTGTCGAAGTTGTTTGATGTTGTAATCTGTTATGGGTCGATCATTAACGATTATTCGACCCGATGATGGTTTATAGTAACGAAGAAAAAGTGATATACATGTACTTTTTCCTATGAGTAAATTATGCGTAGAAATGAGATCAGTTTAAAATCTTTGTTTTTGAAAAGACTAACCACAGCCACTTAAACCTACGAGAGCAGTTGTCTGACCAGCACGAGCAATAAGAGAGAGATTATGCAGAACTGGTGTATCTTTACGAGAAGGATAAATAAAGTTGACATGGTCAAATTCAATATCACCATTGATATTATAAATGCCTTCTGCATCCTCTCTCCATACATCTGTTTCATTGATACTCGAGTCATTTCCCTATATTGTGTAAACAAACAAAGAATATTGTTATTGATATAGGGTCTCAATTTATTCGGCATTACTTCGTCAAGAAGTCGAAAGACTGCTACTGCCGCACCTCTAGCTTCCGAAAATGATTGAAGATAAGGAGCAATAAGACTGAAGAAGTTCAAGCAATCTGCAAATATGATGACGATCTATATTAACAAAGTAGTCATAACTCATTTGCTTAATGAATGATTTTATATGAAATACTCACGACAAAAATATCACTAATATTCAATCTAGAACCAAATTCGCTTAACTCAATTAGAGAACCAGCGGTAAAACCAACTACATAAACAAGGTAGCTTAGCAGAGTTAGCCATCCAGTAAAAACTCCGAACACTGCACCTTGCCGTACACTATTCCAATGAGTAGGAACCAATTCTCTTTCATATCTAAATGCAATAAAAATTATAACATGTTTTTATGATATCAAATAAATGAACGATTTTTATATATTTGTTTACCGTTTTTGCTCAAATTTGCTGCCATTAAGAGAATGAACAGTTCGCAGTGAACTGAACACTTCTTGGACGATTTGTCCTGCTTTCGCGTATGCCGTTAATTCATTCGTTATTGCATTAGCAGTGATCTGTGACAATTTATAAAGATTTAATTAGCTGAAAAATATTTGGTACCTTCGAAAACACAAATGAACTACCAATGGCTAAAAGTATCAAACTTAGCATCACCAGAGTCAATTGCCAGTTGACAAAGGCACATACAATTACAGAGCCAATAGTGTAGAGTACCATAAATAAAAATGATAAGAATTCAAAGCCAATGCCAGTATCTATCTTCGAAATGTTACTGAACAATTGAATCAGATGGAGTGACGTAACATTGAGTATCACAATAACTTACTCGAATAGTTCAGCATTGAGTTGTCGAATTGGTTGGGTATCCCAATAAGACATGCTCTACAAACAGCGAGAAGAACAGTCATAGATGTGCGAGTTGGACTCAGTGTCATTTTAATTTCATCTTTGTTTTCCAAAGTCGACTCCATCTATATTTTCCAAATTTCAATCCAACTCCAACTTTACGCTTTTTGAAAACCCTACTGCAACTCTAACTGTATAAAGTCATGCTTTACTCGATTCTATTTTATGAATTTGAATCTTTTTAGATTTGTTTCTGTAGTTGGTTTTTCCGCTGTAATTTTTTTTATCCTTACTTTAGAAGTGATTAAGTTAAGTCAAATTTAATCGTGGTTGATAAACTTATATATAATGTTCAGTGTCTGCGTGTCTGTGTGTCTCTGCCGGGTCAAAGGTTAAAGATTAACGGTCGTGAGGCTAGAAGGGTATTGGCTACAAGGATAAGGCTAAAGGGGATAGGGCTATAACGGGATAAGGCTGTAAGGAGGTATGGCTATAGGGGACTAAGCCTATAAGGGGAGAAGGTTGTAAGTAGAAATGGCTATAAGGGAATAAGGTCATAAGGGTAAGGTTATAAGGGGGTAAAGCTATAACGTGGTAAGGTTATAAGGGAGTGAGACTATGAGGAGGTAAGAGTACAAGAGCTACAAGTGATATGAGGATATGACGTCGTAGGGTTATCTCTATACATAGTGCCGAGTGTTTTTATGGTTCTTATCGGATGAAAAGTTGAAGGTTTGAAGTCATACGTTAAAGGAAAAAAAATAGCCATGTAGTATGCACGAGTTTCCGCTAGTATCTAATAATTCTAACTCGACTCCGATTTCATTTATCCAATATCAAGTTTTACTACGACAATGATCTAATAAGAAAATTTCCTCACATGCCCTCTTTCGATTACGATGACTTTTGCTTATAGATGCTAGAGAGTATTCTAATAGAAGCACTAAAATAGTTTCACTTCTTATTTAGATTAAACGAGCTATTGAATTTGAAATATATTTATTTAACAGATATCTTCATAGGATTCTAGGTTTTCTGGAAATTCGTGCTACTGAATTTCGTCTTGAAACTCTTTCACTTTGAACACATTATATACAGTAGTGTTTATGAAGAGTTTTTCAGTTTCTAGATTTCTAATCACCAAGAAAGGCACTTTTCAAGATTAGATGCTTTTCAAAGCGTATTATATTGTAGATGAGAGCTTCAAATAGAGATAGTTTCTGGATAAAAGTCAAAGGCAAAATTTTTCTGAATATTCAAGGTCCATAAGGATTATTGTCAAATAGAAATTTTAAAAATCCAGTAACTATATGAAGTCCCTACAGGAACAGAAATTCTTTATTGATTTTCTCTAGAGTATTATATAGTATCTATATGAGAAAAATTGTTAAAACGGAACGATGACATATGGGAAAGTTTCCTATTGTATCGACTCAAAACCACTCCAACTTTCGTAGATGAAAGTGCAAGCTCGAAATTGAATTCGTGCATCTTTGGACTAAGTAATGTCGTCTCCATGCATGATAATCTACGCAATGAACTATACCATTGAAATAAGTACATGAGTTCATCGATATTTCTTAAGTATCATTTTAAAATTACACTATTTGAACTTGAGTTTTCCAGAAACATTTCTTGTTTTACTAGTATCAATTCTGAAGGTATCAATTCTCATAGTTGTATAGCTATCATTTACTAAAGTTGAAAGTTTCACGAAAGGCAATAGACAATGACCATTGTTCTATAAAATTGCAATGCGCTCATATTTGTATCAAGTCCTAAGAAAGAATAAGTATGTGGGTGATAGCAAGGTTGAGTGTACATTTATACTGCTACCCTGAATCCTTACTTTGAGAGATTGAAATCATAGGAACATAAATATTTTGAAACATACAAATAAATTTATCTAATTAGATACTTTAGTTTATTTGGTGAGTGGGCTAAAATTGCTAGTTTACGAATGGCGATGATTTCTTAAAAAGAAAGATCATAAGATGCTATAAATTTATCGAAACGCTAAGAAAAGTCTAAGAATAAAGTCTGGAACCATTTTTTAACATAGAAGTGTATTTTACTTACGCGTTGAAGAAGTGACTGAAAAAGAGTAATATTCATACGATATATCTGTTGTTTCACACTAATGATCCAAAATAAGTTTTTAGTCGATTCACCGACCAATTTGACAGTACCAACAACTACATTGAGAAAGAAAAGAAGACAACTTCTATTATTTGTTACAGTCCAGAGATGCGCTAACAAGTCTACACAGTGAGTGGCCTAAAAGTGTCAGAGTTCATGTTCCCTTGGGTTCCGTTCCTAAAGAACGCGGACCCACTTGAAAATTCATTTCTATAAGCTTTTGACCTTCCTGACACTCCTAGATATGTTTCATTTCAATTTATACCAAGCCACTATGGGTTCGCAGGAACCCGAAAATCCACTTGAAAGTTTGTTTCTATGAGTTTTCGACCATCATCAGACCTCTAGATATATCTACTAGTTCTATTTGTAGTAGATCATTATGGGTTCTCGTTCTAGGGAACCCGGAGCTCAATATATATCTGT